GTAGTCTCACCTCCCCCCCTCCATTTTGGGTAGCCAATATCCAAGTTGCCCATCCCTGTCTATTCTGTGTATTGAGGGGGTGGGAATGATCCTCGCTGTAAAGATTTGTCTTCTCTTTCGAGCTACTGAATCCATAGGTGTAGGTCAAGTTCATCAAATTGTACCAGATTACTCTTTTATTCCTCTTCTTTCTTCTTCTATTTGAACTCTGATCATCCAGCCATTGAAGCCAGGTCAAGTGTGGGTGTTCTTGTGCATATGCCCTCTCTTCCTTTCAGATGGATGGTTCATTCTCTACTCTAGTCCTCTGTGGCTATGTCACTGACTTTGGGCCCAGGAGTACCCAGGTCTTGCCAAACTGCTGGCCAACCAGGTGTCCACCCAGGTTCACAGAGTGTATTGGACATGGTTAGACTTAGCTCACAGCTTCATTGCTGTTTTTCTCTCACTTCCCCCTTTTGGTGACCAATGTGGTCACCAGTCAGAGCACGTGTCTGCTTATGTATTCCCATTGAGTCTCAGTCTTGGAAGGGGGTTTGACCTGAGGGACTTGTGTCTCCATCTTTTTGCATTTGTGAATAGTGCTGCAGTGACTATGGATGTGCTTATATCTAGTTGAGTTATAGCTCTTGTTTTTTGAGGATATTTATATATAAAAAAAAAGTTACACAATAGTATTTCAACTCTTTTCTGAATATGGTTTTGCTTATTTGGACATAACCCCTTGTGACTCACTCATCTTTCTTCTTCCCTCTTTCTGCTTGAGAATTATTAATCTTTCAGTATTAATAATTACAGGCAAACATAGATTTTAAGAGGGAATATGAGACCATGCTTAGGGTCTCATGCTTCAGAAAAGTATACCATAAAAACTTCTACTCATATTTGGGGTATCATGGTTTGACCAGCAACAGTAGAGTAAGAGTTTGACTTCCAATTTGCTGTTACTACTTATGTGGCGAGTTTTTCTGGCAGCTCCACCATATTTGGTAAGGCATAATTCAAGTAGTCCTTGGTTGTCTGGTCAGCTACCATCTTAACCATTTCTTCCATACCTATCAAAGTATGTGTTCCTCAAGGAAAATGAAGAAATAAAAAAATATTTATTGTAGCCATCTCCCATTCAAGGAAGTCTTATCGATATACTTATATGTTGTAGGTAATTACTGAATCTGTATGATGAACAAATAATCCAAGAAACTGGATTATATGAAGAAGATTGTAGCATCAGGACTGGAAAAAGACTCATGAACAACTTGCCATAAGCAGATGATACAATCTCGCTTGCTGAAAGTGAAGAGAACTTGAAATACTTGTTGATGAAGATCCTTAGTATGAATTTCACCTCAATGTCAAGAAAAAAAAAATCCTTACAACTGTACCAATAAATAGCATTATAGTGAATGGAGAAAAGATTGAAGTTGTCAAAGACATCATTTTGCTTGGATCTACTATCAACACTCATGGAAGTAGCAGTCAAGAAATCAAGTGACATACTGCAGTAGGCAAATCTGTAGCACAAGACCTCTTGAAAGTGTTCAAGATGACTGTTTATAGACTAAGATGTGCCTGATCTAAGCCATTGTCTTTTCAATAGCTTCATGTACATGTGAAAGTTAAACAGTTAATAAGAAAGACTGTAGAAGAATTGATGCATTTGAGTTATGGTGTTGGAGAAGAATATTAAAAGTACCAGAGATTGCTAGAAGGACAAACAAATCTGTGTTGGAAGAAGTATAGCCAGAATGTTTCTTAGAAGTCAGAATGGTCAGACTTTGTCTCTCATACTTCGGACATATTATCAGGAAGAACCAGTCCCTGGAGAAGGACATCATGCTAGGTAAAGTGGAGGGACAGTGAAAAAATAGAAGCCTCCCAATGAGATGAATTGGCACAATGGCAGCAGCAATGGACTCAAGCTTATCGATGATCATGAGGATGGTGCAGGACTGGGCAGTGTTTGGTTCGGTTGTGCATAAGGTAGCTATGATTCAGAACCAACTCAACAGCACCTAATAACAAAGATAATTAGCAATTTTAAAGACAGTCAGATAAATTATTTTTTTTCACAAGTTGTCCACATGTCCTGAATATTCTGAATCCTAAAACTCTCTGCTTGGTAGACTTTTCTGGTTCTGCTTAAGAAATGAAGCATTCACAACCATTTCAGGAAGGTGCATGTAGCCCACAGACATTGCCACACACAAAATGTCATAATTTTGTGTGCCTTTAATTAAAGGCATTGTGGTGCCTCTAATCATGTTTTGTCAAGACGATTCTCTCTTTCAAGGTTTGGGTCAGATATAAACTCCATTATGAGCTCTTTCTAGACTAAATTAGAATTGATTCTCTTCTTGTGTGTCAAAACATTACAAAGTTAACTTCCTCCTTCCTGACATTTTAGTAGATTGTTTCTTCAGCCCACCTAGGTTGGATGTTGACTAATTCACCTAAGTTCTATATTTCTTCAGGATAAAGAACATGTCTATTTCATCATTGCATGGAGCACAGCACTGAGCAGGACTCTTGGTTAAATAAATGATAAAGAATTGGTGATGGTTGTACCAATCAAACCTCTAACCCAAGCCCATTGCTATTGAGTAAGTTCTAACTCTGAGTGATCCTATGTTACTGAACTGTATATGTACGAATAGGGTTAAAATGATAAATAATGTGTTATATTTATAACTATAAAACAAAACAAACTCACTTATAGACTACTATGATGAAAAAGGAAACTTACTTTTCTTAGTTATCAAATATATCTTCTTCCAACTTGCATGAATAATTTCTTTTAGAAAAACAGCATGCGGCTGGTCTCTATGAGGTGATGATTAAAGACATCTCAAATGCTCCACTTTTCCAACCTGTTATATTACTCCATAGTCCTTGACATCAATCACCACTTTTCCCCTCCCTCGTGTCTCAGGGTTCTGTGGTATGCTGCATATTCTCACAGAACTCACAACTGTCAAAGGACATGGTCACACATGTTCCAAATGTGTAATTCAGTTTGGAGGAGTCTCCTCGCCCACATTAGTGCAGGTGTGAGGAATCCAAATCAGCAGGTCAGACCACAGGCTATTGATGCACGAGGCTTCAGGAGCTGGTGAAAAGGCTGCAAATCCCACAAATGGGAGGTCATACATGATGAGCCAGATGCAAGAGCCAGAACAAGAGAAGGAGCTTTGCCAAAGGATTCCTATATATTGGACTCAGCTCATGCCCCCAATGAAAACTATGGTTGGTGACTTGAGTCACACTCTCTAGTAAAGTACTGTTGTTAAGTGTCATGGACTCAGTTCTGACCCAGTATAGGGTTTTCAAGGAGCGACTGGTGGGTTTGAACCACCGACCTCACGATGAACAGTTCAGTGCTTTTCTTACAGTGCCACACCAGGAGTCCTTAGCCCCACCTTAATCTTCATTTGTTGTTATGTGCCATTAAGTCAGTTCCGACTCATAGAGACCCTGCATAGGGTTTCCAAGGAGATGCTGGTGAGCTTGAACCACAGACCTTGCAGTCCAGTACATTAACCCATACCGCAGCACTACACCAGGACTCCCTTTACTCCATAGTTCTACCTTAATCCTTGTTGTTGTTGTTAAGTGCCAGCTCATTAACCCGGAGCACCACATCAGGACCTTAATTATTAGAGTCATCTTAGTCCTGCTCATCTTAATGACTCACTTTAAGATGGATCCAGTGCTTAACCTACAGAACCACACCAGGACTCCAATCACATGCACAGAGGATAAGATTTACAATAATCACAGAATGGAGACATATGGCTAGAAGGACAATAATAAATAATTAGCTGCCCTGCACAGTTCCTTTCAGCAGAAGACCTTGCCTTGTTCTCAAGTGAGTCTGTTGAAGTCATCCAGCTTGGACTTTCTCATTCCTTCTTTCCCACCTCAAAATTTCCAGTTGGTTTCCCAGATCTGAAGAAGTTCCTTTTGTTGCCAATACCGACATTCTTTATTATTCTCTGTACTCCATTCATTCAATATTTTGGGAGAAATTTCTCTTTTCTCCTCTTGTTCATCTTCAAATTTTTTCTGCCTTGAGATTTGACCAAGAAATTTGTTAAGATTTTTCCTATTTTAAATATATATTTCCCTTAATGTCTTTTTTGTCCCCCTCAAATAAGAATCCTATTTTCCTTCTTGTTTTTACTTCCAAAATTCTCAAAATACTGTTATACCATCTGCCTTCATTTTTTGGAAGTTCAAATCCACCAGTTGCTCTCTGGAAACCCAATACAGGGTCACTACGACTTGACAGCACTTAGCAACAACAATGTAGTTTTCACTCTTTTGAACACTCTATTATAGAAAATCATCAGTGCTCTACAATTACAAAACACTTTAACAATTTCTTATATTTTATCATTTCAAACATTTTGACAGCATTTAATTTTTTTGATAGCCCTCCATTTTTGTGTGTGTGTGTCTCTTCTGGTTATTCTCTATCTCTTCTACTTCTTAGACAATTCCTTCACTAACTCATTTTAAGGCATCTGTTTAAGAATATTCTTACTTAGCTACATATTTTCTATGGGTAATGTTATCCATGGGAAGAGAGATCCAATTGGTCAAAACAGGTCAGGCATAGTACTAAAGAGAATAATAAACAATCTGTCAAGTTCTTCTAGGACCCTCTACTAGGTAATTTTCTTTTTCTTCCAGTTAATTTTTCATTCACCTAAACTTTAATATCAATTATTCTGTAGGTAAAGAATTCTTGAGTGGTATTACATGACTTTATGAAAACATTCTACCTAGCACCTAATGATGAAAAACTCTTCCATCTTCATTGGTTATCAATCTGAGGAGTTTCCAACCTAAAGAGACCAGGAAGTTAGCTCTACTCTTCTTAGTGTATTTTTTTTTTTTAAACTGAATTGTGTGAAGGCAAGCCCCAATCTGAGAGGTTTCCCTGATTTTAGTGTCTCATTTTAAATTCAGAATGAGTTCTGAGTGGATTTCTTGGATAGTGGCTTTGTTCATGAATGTAATCATGCTGGATTCCTCTGTGATTCAAGGCAAAGACCCTCCAGGTAAGAACATAGCAATTTCTCCTTTTGTTCCTTTTGTTTCAAGAATTGGTGTGGGGAGAGATGCCACAGGCCAGACTGGAAGTGGCTGCTGGCTCCAAAGAGCAGTTATTTGACAGAAAAATGCTCTTTCCTTCTTTCCGCACACAATGGACTGCTCACCAATAGGACTTCCCTGTTCCAGAGCCACAGATTCCTAGAGTATGGAGACAACAAGAAGGGAAACATTGTGTTCTGTTTAGGGTTCTTATTGTGTTATTCTCAGTCACTGAGAATTGTAAATCCTGGAGCCAGTCTGAGAGTAGCTGCCTTTCTTCAGACAGAAATTTTATCTGGTTGTTACTGTTTCTATATTAATCCAATTGTGATATCCAATGAGTGTGTGTGTTGGTGGGTAGGGAAACAAAAGAAATATTTCTTCTGGTTTTTATTAAGCCCTTTTTTTATGGGCTCCTGGTGTGGTGCTGTAGGGTCAGCAATGGACTGTAAACTTCAAGGTCAGCAGTTCAAACTCAACTCCTAGGAAACCCTAAGCAGGAACCTACTGGACAACACTTAACAACAACAACAATTTTATGGTCAGAATTGTACTAAGCAGTTTAGAGAGGCTGACTACATTATCCCTTTCCTTGGATTATAGGGTACATGTTATTTATTGCTATTCTTTTTGAGCTGAGAAGACAAGTTATGCAAAGATGAAGCAATCTTAGACTATGAAAACACATATTTATCAGCAGAAAACAGGATGTGATGTGCTAAGACCAGAACCCACTTTGAATGCCAAAGTTTCAAAAATACAAAAGAGGAACAAACCGAGTGGGAGAGAAACATTGTTCTTAGAGAATAGAAACCACACTGAGTTTACAACGCCCACTAAACAACACAGTTGAAACAAGAATATCAGCACAGATCTTAAATGATGACTGAAAATTCAGACTTTCCACCCCCCACCCCCGTTTTTCTGATTCAGAATGTAAGGGGAAACAGAGAATATAAATGAAGAGGAGTTGCAGATTGGATCTTACCTTAAATTAACTCCCCAGTGAGAGATGAGTATGGCTGACCCAGGAAGGATGCCACTGTCCTTCTGATGGCCTCAGTAGTTCCTGGAGCAGGTCTCTGAAGCTAGAAATGAAAGCAAATTTACAACTCAAGATCAGTAGCAATTATCCTTCTAGTCTTAAATATTTATCCAGAGGGCTCTTTACAACTTGTATTAGTAATTCCATTTGAATTTATTTTTAATGTTGTTGCTGTCTCAAGTGTGTAGGAATTGAGTTTAATCCCAGTGAGTTCAGTGCATTCTAATTAATGATTAGTTTAAGGAGTCTCTTTTTTTTGACCTCCATTCCCATTCTTTCCCCTCCACAGATATCTATTCTAATGAGTATGTTTTTAAATATTATGATGACCTTTAAAATGTATAGCATTGCTTTTTTCTTTGTATATTACAATTTTGATAAATGTCATTGTGAATTGGACCCTATCCTGTGCTTCATTTCACTTAATGCTATACTTTTCAACAGTGATATGGGGATGTTTGTGGTATTGACAGAGCTTATGAAGTTTGATGTTTTTGGATGTGAACACAAACTCATTTTTATCAATGGGAAAGCAGGCTCAGGGAGGGGAAGTGTCTTTTTCTAGGAGCTGCCTCCTCAAGGTAGAGTTGACTGTGATGATGCGAATGGAGTAAAGCCTGTGGGAGTAAAGCCCGTAGGACCTTCATTTGATGGGGCACAACTCAAAATGAAGAGAAACTGTGGTAACAATCCATTAATGATTGGAACATGGAATATACGAAGTATGAATCTAGGAAAATTGGAAATTGTAAAAAATGAAATGGAATGCATAAACATGATATCTTAGGCTTTAGTGAGCTGAAATGGATTAGTATTGGCTATTTTGAATCTGACAACCACATGGTATACTATGCCGGGAATGACAAATTGAGGATGAATAGTGTTACATTCATTGTCAAAAAGAACATATCCAGATCAGTTATGAGGTACAACGCTGTCTGTGATAGGATAATATCCATGCACCTACAGGGAAGCCCAGTTAATAGCATTATTATTCAAATTTACGCACCAACCACTAAAGCCAGTGAGGATGAAATAGAAGAATTCTACCAACTTCTTCAATCTGAAATTGATTAAACATGCAATCAAGATGTATTGATCATTACTGGTGATTGGAATGCAAAGGTTGGGAACAAAGAAGAAGGATCAGTAGTTGGAAAATGGAAAATGGTCTTGGTGATAGAAATGATGCTAGAGATTGCATGACAGAATTCTGCAAAATCAATGATTTGTTCATTTCAAATACTTTCTTTAGACAGCATTAAGAGACGATTATACACCTGGACTTCATCAGATGAAATACACAGAAATCAAATTGACTATATCTGTGGAAAAAGACAATGGAAAAGCTCCATATCATCAGTCAGAAAAAGGTGAGGGGCAGATTGTGGAACAGACAATCAATTGCTCATATGCAAATTCAGAATGAAGCTGAAGAAAATGAAAACAAGT